ATATTCATAATTTGACATAAATTAACAGAGTTTATTTCATATAATATGTAAAAAATAAATAGGAACTATTTTTTTAAATATAAATTAATATTAATTATAGTAAGAGTAAATTGATATCGTAGATATAAAATTAAATTTTTACAGTATATTTTTTACATATTTTATGTTAAAAGTCATATACATAGTATTTTTAAACATATTAATAAAATAAATATAAAAAAATATATATATAAAATATTAGTTTATGTATGTACAAATTTTAATTTGTACTTAGCTGCCTTAATTTTGTAAATAAAAGATAAAAAGAAAATCATGAATAAACAAAATGTTATACATAAAGTGACTTTAAAATTGCAATAATACTGTAATGTTACAGAATTCAGCAATTACAACTCATATACAATAAATTTTAAATCGATTCTGTTTCACTGTTATTTGAAGTCATAGAACTTTCAAACCAAGCAAAAAACAAAATTTTCAAACAAAATATAAACTAAATTGTATAAAATAGTTTTAATTAGAATCCTTCAAATCTTTATGCCTGCAATTTTAGGCAATAGTAGTTCTGAATTATAAAATATTCCTGATTAATATAGGTATATGATACGCAATTTTTAAAAGCTATAATTTTTTAATTCAACTAAATTTCTGTTTTTTGATTTGTTTTTTTTTTAAATCAAATGTTATAGTATTGAACACACACACATCAATTAAGCATACCTTCATATACATACATACATAGATATATGTGCATAATAAAAAATTTTACCATAATTCGCATAATGAAACAACATCCTTTAAGGCCTTATAAAATATAATGTATTAAAATAAAAGCATAAAGTAATTTATTTGGATTTTAGGACATCTATCAAGATGCAAATCAAATTGACTTATTCAGTAATTAAAACAGTATTGCTGAATAATTTAAGTTGACGTTAGATCTGCATTTTGGTGCATGTCCTTATTAATGAGAATGTTACTAACATTGCCTAACTTTAACTATATGATAAAGTGTGAAGTTCAAAATAATGTTGCAATGTATTATATATATAATAGAATCACACTGTCACAACAATAAAAATGGTAAAAAGAATACACTTGTGCTCTCATATGCCTTATTTACTTTGTTCGAAGATGATTCTTTTTAATATATGGACTTTGTAATATAATATTTTCTTCAAATATTAAAACGAAAACTACAGTTTGTGAAATGTACATAGGTATACTGCTTCATTTTGAATTTCTTAATTTATTATTTTAGTAAATTTATTATTTTAAAAATGAAAATACTTAAGTAATAAAAAGAATTATTCAATTTGAAAATGCCTTAATGCATAAGTTTATGAGAACTTTTTCCATAAATGTTACCTTAGAATTTACGACAGCAGAACTTTTAATTAGAATTTTCAAAAAGAAATTTAAAAAACAATCCTAACTTTAAATTTCGTGCAATGCAATATCAGTACATTCTTCAGATTATATAAGTCTTACATTTAATTGCATTCATATATACTTGCTTACAGATTAATGCACTTATATATGAATATAACTTTAACTAAGCAAATACTTTTCGCAACACGCTTTACGCAGGCATTATCTAGATTCTAGATCACAATTCAATTAAGTAAACCTTTTCAGTTGGGCTTCCTATGATTTATTAAAAGTTTAATTTTAAGAATGTGTTTTTAGTTTTTCAAACGCACATACATTTGTGTATGTATATTATATTGTGTATGATTTTGTGTATGTATATGAAAACTAATAAATTGATATAATAGAACAATAATTATTTATTTTATTATGTAAGTTATATGTAAGTTAAATCACTTTTTGCACATCTTGCTATTTATTTTGTTTATAATTCATTTTTTTTTCAATTATTTTATTTTTAAATTGACTTTACTTTTATAACATTTATACCTAATATGTATATTTATTGTTATTTTGTAGATGCATGTATATGTATGCATGTATCTTATAGGTACACACATTTACATAATATTTGTGTATAATATTCATTTTTGTCCTTTTCAATATCATTGTCTTCAGTTTTTAATTTTAACAAGATATGTTATGTGAAATTTAATTTAAAGCCTTATTTGTACACAATACATACTAATGTTGAACTCATTTTAAAACTGTGTATACATAATATCTTAGTTTTGTATTTATAAAATCTACTTAATTGATAATTTTGTATTTTTATACATATATGTACTTTTACTTTATTTTCTACGCACAATAAATTTTCTATTTGCAAACTAATATTAAAATATTTATTTCACTTATGTAAATTATTTATTAATAATTTTCTCCAGCAAACAATAATTACTACTTAGTTTATGAAAAACAAATAGTTTTAAATATAAGAAGAGTGAAATTTTTTAAAAATGGAAGTTTGGCTTTGATAGATAATAATGTGTTAAGATACGGATTGTCATTAGACAATAAAAAAAATCTGATCTAAGCAGAACTAAGCTGTATTTTATTGTTTAGCAAAAATGTTGCGCAAGATTATATTCTTTGAACACCTTTTTCGAACTTTAAGGACGCTAGTAAGCGATTAGTTAATATATCTAGAATTCCAAGAACACTAGTGAATGTTCAATTTCTAAACGCTGATATTTGATTTACAATTTTATTGTTTTAGCACCCTGAATTCAAATATTAGATTCAAGGAAATTATTTTTCTTTTTTGATTGGTTGATTGTATGGTTGAAAATTGGTTGATTATTTCTATGCATATGAGCAACAAATTTGGGTCGTTGTAAAAGTCCAGTTGCAAAAAATAAAAATTTTTTTGTTAAATATGTAAGTCAAGTTTATTTTTGTCCTAAGTAGGTAGACGCAAATTGTTTGCTGTGAAATAAGAATTTGGGTAAGCCGTAAAATTATTTTAATAAAATTTGTGTATAAAGCACACATTTAAATGATTAAGTGAAAAAAATATTATTTTAAAAAGTAAAATTCTGGCAATTTTTATTTTCTAACGGTGTAGTGAATATAAATTTTAATTTGAATATGATGATAGGGCTTATTCTGAGTATTGTTATTGCAAACGCAAACCAATTCATACAAATGAATCGTTTCTACAATAAAGTTTTGGAAACTTTTACGATAAATATCACTATCACTTAATGATTCGATACTCAGAATAAGCTGTAATATTGTGTTTTATCTTTAAAATAATCCTCCATATCATATTAGTCGCGTCACGGACTTGATAAAAATCTATCACGTCATCACGTTCCGTCACGTCACCTCAAATATGCCTTTCTGGTAATCGTGTCTGTAGAGGCGATAAAACATGTTTTCAGTTTGGAAGCAATAAGGGAGCGGAAAATTGAAAATAGAATGAGGTGAAAAATATTCTGGTAATGCATATAAACAAAAGCGGAAAAAGTTTTATAAGAATAATTTGGGATTTTATGAATCGTTTGTATAACTTCCTTTATTATTTTAAAAAAATCATTTTTAAAGGAACTTTGTATAAATGCATTTAAATATTAAAATAAAACGTAAACTTTTTTTTAGATTGCTTTTTGATTTCTAAAGTATTCCCGGATTTCCAAAAAAAGGCTTCAAAATTTTAATTGACCAACTTAAAAGCAACTTGCTACCACTTACTTGAATTATCTCAAAATTATCAGAATTGTCTTCCATTAATTTTATTAGAAACTCAGATTGCTTCATATTTGTTATTATTTTTCTTCTGTAAAATACAAGAACCGTAATTATATCAATTAAAAATTAATAGAATAAAATTTTAGTATAAAATAAATTAATTAATTTTGATAACAAATTATCTTTGCCGATTTTTTAATTTTATTTATGCATATGTACATTTTTCACGTTTACGACTACCAGAATAGGAATTAGACGTGATTTTTAATAATGAATGTATGTATGTGTGTATAAAAGAAATTATAAAGGTAAAATTTAAAAATAAAATTTAATATTCATACTTGATTATTTTAATACTTTTGCATTCAAAATCTTTTTGTTAATAGAAAATTTTTCTACTATATAATATTAGTTTTCTAATATTCTGCTATTTTATCCACATATGTATATATGTATGTATTTATTTCTGTAACATATAAGATAGCATATAGTTTTTACTTAATTTTTTTCTTTTCATTTGCCTTTTTTTTCTTTTCAAATTTGTGCAATTTTTTCAATTTAGACAATATATTAATATTTAATTTATAATATTATATGTATATTTTTTTTATATTACTTAATGTTGGTATAAATGTATATTTATGTGTTCATTTATTTTTTAATTTTATAGTTAAAACTAGTTTATCTTTATAAATATATAAAACATTTATAAAAAGTATCAAATAAAAATATATGTAATTTTTTCTTTGAATAATTTTTTGAAACATAGAAAGCGATTTATTTGTTTTTTGAATAGTTTTTGATATTAATTGTATATTATACGATGTTTGATTTTTTTAAAATAAAGAAATAAGAAAAGTGTAAACAAATGAAGAAATAATACAGGACATTTTATAATGAGTATAAAAATATTAAGGTTTGATGACCACTGCCAATGCTGAATTAAGAGATAAATATGAAATTGCGGCAAAAATGTTATTCTTTTGATTAGATACATTATAAAAATAAATAATATTTAAATTTAAGGTATTTCTTATTTATACTGAAATTATTTAATAAGTTTGTGACTCATCATAACTAATATTAAAAATTTATATTATTTGACAATTAAGTTACCATGTGGATAAGAATAAAATGAATATTAAATTTAATGTTGTTGGGACTTAAAATATAATTGATAGTGGCCATTGACCTTACAATATTTTTATAATATTTATATATTAATAAATAAATTATTTATATTATTAGTTAATGTACATAAAATACAATATTTGTATGAAATTGAGACTTTTATTAATTTCATCTCAATTTTTGTTTTGTCTTCTACATTTTATAGAATACTTATCTTATATAATTTACTTTTAATATGATTATGAATTTGGTTCAGTTTTAATAAATTCTTTACTACATTTACTTGTGAAGTTAGAATTCAGATATGATATTTTAATGTTACTCTTAGGGTTTATATTTAATGTTTTGTTATGTGTGGGCTATTTGAATACATCACTTGTGATGTTGTAATTGATATTTAATTTATTAATTCACAAATAGTTTGGTTTTCAAACAAGTGTTTTTAGAGTTGAGGGAGCTTTTGTATTTAAATTCACCTTTATATTTTAGTTTAGTTTTTTACACCTTAAATTTTTTTTGTAAACAACAAAAATCAAATATTTTTGAAATACACTGATATTTCATAAAAATAGTTTATTACTTTATTAATGAGGTTTTTAAATTTTGCTGTGTCATTTCCATGTCATAACTTAATAAGTAAATGTAGTAAAATAATTTTTCTTTACTTTCTAATTGAATATTAATTTACTTCCTTTTATATAATTATTTTGTTCTTATAATATAACTAAAACATTTTGTTTTATTTATTTATTTTCTATAATTGTTTGTAATTGATGAACCAGATTGCGCGCTAATTTCAAGACTGCCGGAGTATTGTGACGTTCAGCCATTTCTAAAATAAAAATTCAATTAAAATGTTTTTTTTTTCTAGATATACTTAATAAGTAAGTAAAATTAATAAATCACCATTAAAAAATTTTATGACATCTGTAAAATCCATGCTATTTGATAATATTATATCTCTATATGTTTCCAGTAACGCTAATGCTAAAAATAATACAAAATGGCCACTAGCAACATGTTTTGCTGCCCATATACATTCCCATGTCGCAAAAACATCAGCATAAATTAGTTCTCTTTTAAAGTCTAATAGAAACCATCGATAACAGAAATAAAAATGTGTATAATCACCATGCGCGTGCATTAAATCATACATTTCTGAGTCGAGTATTTGTATAAGTGATCTAAAAAGTAAAAAGTGTGCAATGAAAAACTTTTTAAATAATATATGTATGTATGTGTGTTAAAAGTTAAATACCTCATGTTGGCAAAGTGCATATCCATAGCTCCACCATTCGGAAAATTTTCAATCATTCGTTCCATTAATTTACAGAAACAACCATAACTTAATGATTCATCATCAAATATAACTAAAAGTGGTGCCACTAGATCACACATGCCCTGCATGTATCCAATATCTAGATGTTCCCAAACATATCTAAAAATAAAAATTTTAATATAGTAATAATAGTAAAGAGTTTGAAATACCAATAACAATATGTGCCATGTGTCATAAATGAAAATAATAGAAATAACTGGGAAAATGTTGAAATTGTTAGTTAAATTCAAAGTCTGCCAATTTGCAGAAATTTTGAAAAAATAATGTTTTTAAGCAAAAAAATTAGGACTCTCATGCAAACACTTGTGTTTTTGAAAATATTCTAATCTATGGATTTGATAAGGTTTTAGTGTAAGATTTTTATTTGCCACTGTGTTCTTAGATTTTGTAGTGCCGAGAAAAATTTGATATTAAAAAAAAATTTAAATTTTATTTTAAAAAAAAATTGTGAACCTCTTAACTTACGTGCATATAACATTTCTTAACTTGTCCAGATTCTCATTTGCAAAATACCAATAATTTCTATCGCACCGTTGTACATCTTTTTCAATTCGGTGTAAATTTAATCCGAATGATTCTAACAATTCACACTAAAATTAAAATACAAAATTGAAATTTTAATTTGTTAATTTGTTTGATTTAATTTACGTATATGTATATGAAAAAACTTACGCTGTATATACCGCCATTTGAACTAGCTGGGGAGACGCATGCTGATTTAGGTTCTTGTAACGCATCTAATATTTGCCCATTTGATTCCTCCTGTACTGGCGACATAGTGGTAGTTTTTTCACCATCGCTCACGTCGATCTTATCCATAGATGAGATGTCAATTGAAGCATTAGTGACAATAACAGCCGCAGTTGGAGGACGTGGTATTTTTTCGTCTTTGTTATGGTTAAGTGATATTTGTGTTTTTTCATCACTATCGTCATCAGTTGATTCTTTTTGAGGTTCTTTAGTACTTATATCAAATTTCATTGTAACATCATTTTCAAAACTATCATTTTCACAACTTCCACCTTCGACACCTATAATTTCGTCACTTTCATTAACATTCATCGCATCAGTTATTTCCAACTGAACATCTCCACCATCTATACTTTGAAATTCGGGGATACGTATATTGTCATCAACGTCACTTACATCATTATTTGTCAAATCAAGAAATTCATTTCCAACTGTCTCATACGAAGTGGATGGAGAACTTTTATTACTTATATTTGATTCGTTCCCTTCAAATATTTTAGTATCCAAACTGTCATCATTATTACTGGCATTGACTATAGTATTTGTATTATCATTATCAATAAAACAATTTTCTTCTATATTTAATTGCAAGGTGGGCTTAATTAAATCGTTATTAATAGCTTCAAAATTTTCTTGGGATTTGTTATCTGATATTGATGTATCTGTAACATATTTGATTTCCCTTTTATCTTTAACATTGTCTTCTTCATCATCGATGATATCGGAATCTTTGATATATGCGTCAGGAACATTACCCGAATCTGTACTGCTTTTATTTAGTCGTGATGGTTTTTCATTAGTTTTATTTTGTTCTTCTTCATTTATTTTTTCCCCATCAACTGGAATATCATCTTCATCGTCGAAATCGTTACGGCGGTCATCTTCATAATCCCCTGGATCTGAAATATCAGAAAAATCATTGTCCTCAAACACATCATTCTCCATTTCATCATCTGGATCAATAATTATTTTCTTATGACCTCCACTACTACTTTCAGAACTCAGTTTTGCAACTGCGTGTGCTGTTTTTTCTTTATCTCGTTGTCTTACAATTGCTTCAACCGCTAGCCATTCGCTCATTGTTGTTTCATAATAACGTTTTGTACTTTCATCTAAACTTAGGCGATCTTCTTCTGTACTTCCAAATCTTATGAAATTAATAATTGTAAAATTAGTAACCAGTTGTGGATTTAATTTTATTTCTGAACTTACTCATAATGACCTAGTAGATAAGGCCAAACTTTCTTTCTGATATCCTGATGAACACCGCCGTAGTATACTAATCTATAAACTTCATCTCCATCACTAACAATACCATCTGTTTGCAAAGATTCCCATTTTTCTTTTGTAAGCCCTTCTTCAGCTCCAACTTCAAAATTAAAAAATAGTCAATTTAATATAATTATTTGGATTCGTATAAACATTTTTAAATTAAAATTGCCCGCCTTTAAATTAAAATTGCACATAAATATTAAAATGGATGAAGTGCCCCAATTTATTTTGCAAAAACTTTACACAAAATAAAATACATTTTTTCTTTTATACGTCAATACGTATTAAGTAACAAATGAAACTTTTACTATTATGTAGAATTATAAATCTAATTCGCAAATACTAAAACGATTTATATAAAATTTATTTTTTACCTTCTGGTGTTATTCTACCATTTACTAATCCAGACAAATGTGTTCGAACTGTAGACAAATGTCTGCAATATGCTAACCAGCCATAAAAAGCTCTTGAAATAATTTGACGGCGCATCGTTGTACAAACTAAAGCAATACTTGCAGATTGGTTTGGCAGAGTTGTTTGTGGACTTTCACTTTGATCCAATGACATACTTTTACTTGAGCAATCACTACTCCCATTAGTAGAACAACTGCCAAGTTGAACACGTCTTGGACTTGTGCGTCCTAATTCTAATATTGGATGTGTGGCCACTAATGTATAAAATTTAAATATGTGATATATATTTTGCATTTGATACGTAATCAATCATCCACTTACAAAACTCTTCGTGATTACTTTTATTAACTACTCTGAATACATAATCGATTGGATGTTCTTCATTATTCTCCAAAACAGAAGGTAAAATACGGCGTCGACCCTTTTGAGGCCACGAAAAAATTTTCCCAAATCCTCTATTTGACCATAATGGAGGATCTAATTGTCCATGTGGTAACAAACCTGAAAGAGTGGAAATTGGTTCCACGTATTTTTTTGTTGTGTTTCCAATATTTTATAATTGTACTTACCAGTCTCCAAGCAACTTAAAAATGCTGCCATATGTCCTCCTTCTGGAAAATGTATGGGTGGTTGTTGAACTCCATCTTGTCCAACAAGTATTATTGTACCGCCAGTATCTTCACCACGTATTTGATGACAATGCACATACACGATTTCATCAACATTTATATTTAAAGCATAAGCCCAATAGAAACTTTTATCGGTAGACTCTGTTTCACTATGTCCATTCATTAACTGATTTGGCGTCCACTTGACTGTTAAAGACTGGGCAGTTTGATGTAAGCTCAAATAACCTGGCATTGGCTCACTTACATCTTTCTGTAATGATTAAGAATTAAAAAAAAAGGTTCTAATAACTGTCGGCAAATTAAAAACAAAGTTCTTACTGGAAGAACTAAAACGTTATTCTTTCCATACAAAAGAGTTGCCCGTGAATTTTGATGTAAAGATTCGACATAGTCTTTTGCTACAGTAACCGATGATGATGATTTAAATGAACCAGAACTTGCTTCCTCCGAACTTGTATGTAAACTGCGTTTAAAATTAATAATTGGTCTGCGACATGAGGGTGGCGTTGGATTTCCGGAGCTGATTCGATGTCTTTGCACCTATAAAAAAATAATATTAAATACATAGGTGAAAGACTTTCTGATTTTTAATTTCATGTTACCAATTCATCAGCGTGAGGGTCAGACCAAAAATGATCTGGAGTTTTTGTGCGTGAATATTCTAGCGCACATGGTCCAACAAGCAATGAGCTCAAAATTGATCCATAATCTGGATCAGCTACCAATGAATCCCTCTCATAATATCTAGCGGCATTAGTAACCAAATGTTCAATAATTTTGGATAATCTTTTCTCATACAATGCTAGTCGAATCCAAAGATATCTTAAATATTATAAAATAAAATATAAAAAAATTACGGTCCAAGAAATTATTATAAATAAAATCGCTAAGTCACTTAAAAAAAAAAAACAAAACAAGTTATTTACTTTACTATTGGTGGTGATGATGGTGGGCTAGTAGTTGATAAAACAGATGAGCTACTGCTGCCTTTTTTTAAAATTGGTTGTGGCTTGTTAACACTATCGCTACTCGATGAAGATCTTTTGTTCGGATCACTGTTTTCAATATCTTGAACTTTTTTACTAATAATTGCCGCTTCTGGGCAGTGTTTTGCAACTTTATGTAATAAAGCTGTGGTAGATGATGTTTTAAATAAACCTAATGCTCGACGGCGTAATCCTTGGCTTAAACAAGCTTCAACTGCTGCACATAAGGATGTTACAGCGCCACTTTCTTCATGAACAAATTTTTTTGTAACAGCTTCTTCCATTAACTGTTTAACTTCTTTCTTAACTGAAGCAATTAGCTTCTCTTTAAATTCCGCCTCACCTATGGAAGATCCAAAAAAACTCATATATACACATATATTTAATTTTTGATTCGTATTATATGTAATTGAATTAAACAATGTTAGTTGGCAAAATTCGCATAATTAGCAAAACCCAAATCAAATACAAATAAACAAATTCCCCACTATTATTATATTTTGAAAGAAAATTAATTATTTATTTCAACATTTAAATGAAAAATATATTTGTTTTTTTTTTATTTTGTTAAGGTTAAATCAGTTTTTATAATTACATGTAAATGATTGTCTTGAATTATATACGGAACGTTGAGCAAGAAATCTTGTGAGACTCATTTGAAATTCCTTAAAATATGATGACAATGGTGGTTAACATCTACATAGTGTATACCGCAAATCATAAAAAACAAAAATTATACGATCCCAGATTACATAATATATAAAGATGGAAATAATAAAATATAATAATACCTATTTAAGTATATATATATCAGGTATAAAGGGTTAAAATTATTACATTAAAAAAATGCAGCAACTTGTCATCAGCCATCAAACAACAATTGATATTATAAAGCAGATATAGCCTCTTTTGCTTTACAAATATTGAAATATAAAAATTATTAAAGTTAATTGAAAAAATAAAATTATTTGTATAAACACACATAATTGTTTCATAATATTTAAATTTTTGGCATTGTACTATATTATGTCCTTTTGCATTTAAGTATGAGATAAGTACTAAAACACGAAGTCGATATACAGATCATTTAAATATACATATTATCAAGTAGTATTGAATTTTAAATTAAAATTAAACCTGCCTTAATTAATTAAATTTGATATTTGCCAAGCAGTACAATAATCAAGTAATTATTTATTTAGAAAGCATAATATATTACCAGCTCATTAGTGAAATAAAAATACCTAATGACACTAATATAGCACACAATATTTTTCAAATGCACAACAAGTCATTAAAGATACTATTTTGCCAACAATAATTAATTTTCTTATACACAAACAAACATATGGTTATATTTTATCATGTTTATTTTTATATTTTAACGATTTTGATTGTTATATTTGTAATCTGTATATACATATATAATTTAATAAATTTTAAGGAGAATTGATTTAATTTAAAGCCGGAAAGCTATTAAAAAATCTAAATGATCTTTAACTATTACAATCGTTGAGAAAATAACTCATTAACAATTAAACTAATTGAGTCGTTGAGAATTATAAGATTTATTTACTTATGTGAATTTATTTAGGAGCTAATGTAAACGTAAGTGCACAAATATTACAACTAAATTTAAATATTTAAAATAATTACAAATATTGAAAATTATATTCGCGAATAAACAAAACTACTGCCATTTTTTACTTAAATTTTTAAAAGGTATACAATTTTTTTTGAGTTTAACTGAAGACATTTTTGTTTTCAAAATTTTTGGTTTAACATAAGTAATGGATATTTGGTTTAACGTAAATAATAACTATTTACTCAAATACAAATTAATCGGCAGTTAAATTTTTATATCTAAAGGAGACTACAGGAGAATATTCAGACTACAGGATAATACTCTTCGATTAACATGTTATAGAAAATTGGATTCACACAATATACGAGTAATAAGCTATTTTCATTTGACAGTAAACTTGTTTTGGTTGACATTTTGTTATTCGCCTTTAGAGATTTATCCAAGCATCCTACCATTTCTCTTACTATAATAAATACTAGTAAACTTTAAATTTATATATCAAAATTTTAATGTAAGATTTAGATATATTTAAAATTTATGAAATAATCTATTAATAAATAATACTAATAATATTTTTGAAAAATTTGATTTTAATTTTAAAACATTCTATAATTATATTATGCCTAAAAAATTTTGCATAATTATATTATGCCTAGAAAAGTTTATTTTAAATTGAAGTCATTATTAATTTTGGTTAATTTTTAACTTTTTTATTCATTTATTGATTCTGGTACAAACTTATAAGATTTTCTTAGTATAAATAAATAATTTATTCTTTTAAGACTTATTTAAATGATAATAATTTTCATATTAAATCAATTGAACATTTTAGGCTTATAAATGTAATATAATAATATAAATCAATTAATTTGTGAAGAATAAACAGACTCGGAGAGTTTATCCAGAGATAATGACGCTTATTTTTCATGCACTTTTCAACTGAAATTTTATGTAAAGTATTTTTAGAAGAATCGAAACGATCCTTAGAAACAATTATTTTTAATTATTATTTGAATAATTAATTTTATGAAAACGTAGTACCTATGAATAAAGTATAATCACTTATGTGAAAATTTTTAAAGATTTAATAATAAATTACAGTAAAAATCGTAATTTTTTTGTTTTTGATAACTGTCTTCTTTGGCACAAAAAAAAAATTTACCAAGATTTCTTTTCATTATACTTAATAGATAGTTAAAATATAAAAACAAATTTATTCACGTTAACATTGATTACTTTTATTTTGAATTGGAGGAACATATGTAAATGTTGAGAAAGGTAAAGCTTTAAATATGAATGCATATAGATATAAAATTAATCAATCGATATAACTTGTATAATACTTTATCAAATACATTGAATACAAAACAACGTTTGAAAAAATTTGTGAATTAACATTTACATGCATGTGTATATGTATAGATATATGCATATATATTTATGTAGATATATTCTTGACATTTGGGTATGCTTACACATATATGGATATCTAAGTAAAGATAATAATGAAATACAAAATCCATACATATAGCTAAAATATAAAAATATTGCAATATTAGCTACACATATTTAAAAGAAATATAATAATAATATTGCATATGATTGGGCGTAATTTTCAATAATTTTTTTGTGCTTTAATTTTAAAAAAATCACGTTCAATATATATATTATATTAATTTTAAAATAAATAAAATAAAATACAGAGAGTGCTTATTAATATAATTTTAAAATATTATATGTACATATATATCATATTATTTAGAAATATACAGACATACACAAACACAATAAACACAAAGAAAAATATTAAATGCCAACCTGTTTGTCCGGCCGACATATTTTTATTTTGTTGAAAATATTCACAGAAATTTTGAAAATGTTTTATAAAATATTTATTTCTTTTTCTTTGTCTTTAGAAATTGAAGCACCACAAAAAACATTCAAAGTAACATGAAATCTTTTTGAATAATTTACTTTTTTTATTTTTTTTTCTGATTTAATTGTAAGCAAAATTTTATTTTTTTTTCATTTATAATTTACAACTTTTTTTACTTATATAAAAATATTTATTTACACATAAATACATTTATAATATTTATATTTTTATATAAAAATATAATTAGGATTTTTTTTTATAAAATTAAATAAATCTATGTAGAAAATTACATTTGAAGATTATGAAGTTCACTTTTATCGATTTTGTAATTTTCATATAATAAAAATTTTCCTTTGCCGTATATGTATGTATGTATATTTTTTGTTCGATAGTAAAAGTGATGTGGTGATGAAGTTAATATTATTGATATCCTTTTCTTGTAATTTTTCCTTTTAAAAAGTAATTTAAAAAAATATTTTTTTTTCTTCTATTTATCTCATTATTTTTGTAAAATTAAAATATTTATACAAATTCTTTCGATTTTTCTTATATTCTTTTGAATAAATACTTTAAATGTATTTGTATCCCGTTTTTTACTTATAAATTTTCCGCAGAATTTCAAGACTATTGATGTGTGCTAAAATTTGCGTTAAAAAAGTAAAACTGAATACCTATTTGTTTTATTTTTCTTTTGCATTTGTGAAAATTATTTTATTTTTATATTAGTGTATGTATGTATGTATACATTTATATATATGAAACGTTATACATTATGTTGAAAATTTACAACTTTGAGTAAGAGCTTAAAATAAGGGTAGAAATAAAAAAAAGAAAAATGTTTTTCACGACAGTATGTACAACTAAAGTTTTTAGAACTATGCACATTGATACAAATATTGAGCAGGTATATGTAATATGTATATACACTCATCCCTCCCTTGACGGAATATACGGAATTTCGGTTTTACGGAATTCAAAAATTAAACCGAAGTCTCTTCGGATAAAAAATTTTATTTACGGAAAATATTTAAAATGCAAAAATGATTCTTGTTGTCTAATGTTGTAATAATAATAAAATCCTACTATATTTTTTGCCAATTAACAAGAAATATGTGTACCTATATAAATTTAGGTAAAAAATTATGTGGCTGTAACGTAATGTAAGTAAAAATATTCGATTTACGGACAGCATTTTCGGAACATATTTGTTCCGTACAAGCGAGAAATGAGTGTGTATATAATATGCATATACCTGATCCATATACATAATATACATAAATATGTATAGATAAATGCATAAATATCTATTTTTGATGTATGTATGTATAAAATAAAAATTATAAAAATGTTGATTTAATATTTTGATTAGGACAAATACATGTATGTATGTATACATATTATGTATGTATTTACGTAAATTTCAAAAAGAGCTTTAAAGTTAACACATTCAACACGTCATATTAAGTTCAGTAACATATTTTAGCAATTCACAATAAGCATTAAGCTCTATTCTTGTTGTTACCTACATAATTGATAAGAAAATTCAATTTTATGGATTTTGTGCTTATATTGACAATTATAATTGTCTCTAATTATTTTTCTTCTTATGTATTTTGTGGAACAATATTTTGAAATTCGATCATTTCAAATAATTTATTTTATTTGAATAAAACTATATTGAAAATTCGTTCGTGCTAGAGATAACTAATAAGTTGTTATTATTATTACTTTTCCCATCAACAATTTATTGAAAATGTTGCTTTTGAAGCAATCTACTTACTCTTACATATTTTAATGTACATTATTCAATTTACATCCAAAAATACTTCCATTCATAAAAGTACCAAAATATATTTAACGCATACTTTTGAGATGAGACAAAAAAAACTAATTGAAAGAAGCGATAACACATTGGTCGAGTTCAAGAACTAAATTCATGAGTTAAGATAAATATGTACATATTTATATTTTTAATGGCATGAAATTTGCCATTTTAGCTTTTTGCATTTGTAGAAATTTGGAAAAGCTTTTCTTTTGACATACATACTTATGTATATAGTTCAAATCTACTCAACGAATCAAAAAACGTTAATTGAATATTTGTAAAATATTGTTTGCTTAGAATTATTCGCTCGTTTTATAATGTATGAAATTAATTAATAACTAATGTTGTCAATAGAGTTCTTGTTGGCTAATTTAAATAAATCCGCCTTTTGTGCGTCTTGACAATTTCATATTTTTTTATAATTTAAAATTTAAACATTAAAAATTATATCAAGAACATTAAAAATTAAAAAATTGTCTGTCTTTTAAATACGTAGATGGCTCTATTTATGTATGACGTAGAACTTTTAATGTTTATTGTTTATATGGAGCTTCACATAACGCCAGAAAGTTAGAGATATTTAATAAAAATATGTATATTTTACTAAAATTACCCAAAATATAATTTACTTAAAATTATAAATGCAATGTAGGCAAAAAACAACATTTTCATCTTCAATAATAGCTTAAACGACATAAATTTTTTAATTTGTCTGTATAGAAATCATAATATAATAATATGTGACATAAAAGTTTAAATTAAACAGTCTAAAATTACATTACAAATTTTAAAATTATAACAGTCTACAAAATTCTATTTGTAAGGCAAATGTTATTAGATTTTACTAACCTGATTTTTACTATTCTTACCTGATTTGGCAAGATTTAAGTGCATGATTTCAATTTTACAGCTTCTTATAGTCAACCCTTTACATGATATTAATAATTCTAACTGGTAATTTGTGAAAAGAAACTTTATAATTTAAGCGAGCGATAATTTTATAATTTTATATACGAGATGTACTTATGCATATACTTTTTAATTTTTATGTAGTAGCTAAATATGTATATTATTTTACGTTTACACAAATATTATTAATTAAAAATATTTTTAAAAAACAAAAAAGGTTGAGCTAAATTATGAATTTAAAGGTATGAAATACTTTCTTTCTCAAAAATACGCACTAATTCCCTTTTCGCGTTTCGATAGCTGAAACAGATTCAGAAGTTGAATGAAAAGGTGGGCAACCTTTTGTCAAATTTTTGATTGACTAATTACTTGGAACCCTAAAATGGGGCAAACCATCATGATCAACCTTGCAAGAATTAAAAGGTAGCAATTATAAGGAAGAAACTTATAAAATAATTAATGTCCGCAATTCAATTTAAGGAAAAATTATACGTACCTATTTCAAAGTTTTTTAATGAGAAAAAAATTCAAAATTTACAAAGAATAATTAGAATGAATTAAAATAGTAATTTTACTCTCATTAAAATCAATCATATATGTACATAATATGTATTTATGAAAATGTGATAAAATACGATAATGTAAGGTAATTTTAGCTTTCTTATAGTCATTTAAATAATCACATTCTCTATGTACTGATTACTTTAAATGGCATTTTAAAATAAAAAATTTTTAAAATTTTTTTTATGAAGGTAAATTTTTCTCATAATTTAAACTATGCGTGAAGGAGTTCGTCAATCATCATAAAATTCGTGAAAGTGAATTAAATTAATTGCTATTACACATACTTTGTAAAGAAAATTTTTCTTTTCATAATAAAGAACTTTGAAAAAAAATAACTTTTATACAAATTTAAAGAAGTTGTATTTACTTTAGAAAAAAGTTTTATTAACAAAATATCGTTTAATTTTCCATTGCATCACCTCGTCTAAAAGGGTTTATTTTCACCTCATCATTTCTAAATGGATTCTTTTTCTCATTCAAAAGACTTTCGCTTTCCATCATTTCAACATCACGACATTTAGCAGCATGAAGTTCCCGTCTTATCTCTGGTGTTATATTCGAATGTGTTTTTTTTCTAAGTAAATCAAATAAAGCTTGTTTTTGTTCAGACGAAATATCATTTTTATAACGCTGTACAAAAGTTAATAAACTTTGGTGCCATAGCACTGGCATTTCCCGTCTGTCATTTTCGAAACGAATAAAATGAAAAACAGCTGCGTCAACAACGCGATATGGGAGAGCATATCGTTTGTCTAAAAATATCCGTATGAAAATAGAATTCGCACCTGTATAACACATTTCACAAATTTTTAATAGGCAAGCAGCCGAATGTAGTACTGGTATCGTACTTCTAGATATGATGCTACCAAATATAATTGCTTCTCTTAAAGTACAATCGCCAGATTCTAACAATGGTAAAATAATTCCTTTCATGAAAGCTGCAGGTTTAAAAAGAGCTTTCTTTAAAGCCTTATAAAGGTGCATATTTAATCTCTTAAATTCACACAAATCGTCTCGTACTCTAGGTAATAAAACTAAATTGTAAAATCTCTGGGTCATAGCCTGAGATAACACTGAACAAAATATCCTAGTTCCTTGGTACATAGCAGCGGCGCTCCAATTATGTGGTTCTGTTATATATAGAATTTGTTCCCAGTTCCTTAATTTTGGTATTATTTTAAAGGCCTTCGGAACTTTGCCACTACGGTACTTTTTCATAACGTCACGTACACCTTCATACATTTCTCGTACTTTGGAATCGATTTCTTCTATTTGTAAAGACTCATTATCAGCCAGCTTTGTATGTATATCATGCTGTTTTTCTGTTATTTTTTCCATTATTATGTCACTAAGTTTTTTTGTTTTTTTATTTGGGTCAGCATTTTGAAACCTTTTGAATGCTTCTTCATCTTCATTATCAATATTCAAATTGTCCATTAGATCATATTCATTAACATTTTTGTCGGCAACCGTATCATCTCGCAATTCTTCATCACTGTCACTATCATTAGGTTTCAAGCTTGTGTTAAATACCCGATCGCTTTTTATCAGAGCTGGAAACTCTTCTTCAATACCCATTAACATTTCATATTGTTGTTTTTTAGCTGTTGTTAAAATTTTATTGCTAGTTTTACTATCCAAGATGTTTATTTCTTCTTCTGTTCGAAGTCGAAATTTGCTTTTTCTGTTTTTCTTTATATGACCATTCGTAATTTGTTTGTCCAGTGGTACTTTCTCTTCTTTTGCTAGCGCCCTCTTTTTAACTTTGCCCATTTTTTGGAAAATTTAACAAAAATATATCGAAATTTTTTTATATTTTTAATACTCCTTCGAGAAAACTTTTAAAAATATTGTTAACCCTTATTTTGTCCTCGTGTTTCTTCAAGAAAAGAAACAAAATAATTGACATTTTAAATGTCAATTGATTTCTGTGCAATATTGTCAAAACTACTTTTTTTTTCTTTGTAGGTTTTGACATATGAAAAGTACAACCTATGGTTCACATGTTCTTTTGTTCATTTAGGAAAAGGCAGCTTTTTAAATCAATAGACTCCAATAAGATAGAATTTTATTTTCTTCGAGATCGAATTTTAAATTTTAGCTTAATTATCTTATTAATAACAAATAATAAAAAGCGTTTTGGTATAATATTTCTAGAAAAACATTAAAGAAAATGTTGACATCAGTGTCTTCTAAATGTATAAAGTTTCAAGTTTTGTAGAGGAAAATTTTGTGTTTTAAGATTTTTAAATCATAAATCTCTCAAAATATATGCATAATATGTTGGTTATATCAGAAGGTTTTGTTTTTAAAAAATGTTTTTTCATTAACAATATTTTTTTAAACTTTTAAAACAAAATAAAATAATTTTATTTTCAAAAAATTATAAAAAAATATATTAAAACCAAAGTTTTACTATAAATTTCACACTTTTATAATCTACAGTCAAATCTTATTTTAGCAAGAATTATTACCTAATTTTTTGACAAGTTTTGGTGTAATTCTAAAATATACTTTTTTAAACTTGTCAAAAATAGACCTGTCCGTGATAAAACTTAAAAAACTTAAAAAAAAAACAATGAATTTCTCGCAATATGAAAAAAAAATAAACCAGACAGAAAAACTTGAAAAAATTTTTAAAAACTTTATAAATATGCGATAAACGTTAAATTTCAAAGTATTTATCAAACATAAACAAATATTTTTTGGTTATACCAAAAACTGAAAAATTTAATTTTGGATTACAAAAATGTTAAACTCAGAAAAAACCATTTGTGAACCTTTTTTGCTGTTTTAATTTATTTTTAATTGAAAAGTTTTGAAAAAAATTATTGTTAATGAAAAATTTTTTCAAAAATAAAGCTTTTTGACATAACCAAGAAAAACATATGTTTCGACAGCTGTAGTTTTACAGTTTCAAAACATAAAATTTTACTTTATAAAACTTGAAAAACTTTAAACATTGAGGAAACGAAACGTCATCATTTTCGTTCATTTTTGTTCAAAAAGTATTATACTTAAGTATAAAACGCTTTGCATGCAAAAACTTAAAGTTTTTGAAAAATTTTGTTTTATCCCAGGCCTAATAATTCAGTTATTTTTTAACTGAATTTTAAAAATATCCTCTAGGTACTAATTATTAAAGTTCAAATAAGTTAGAGATAAAATATCTTGCACTTCGTAGTTTTTGCACAAAAGTTCAATGCAACGAAATTTTAAGTTAATACGAGAAATACTGTTTCTTTCTTATATATTTGAGACATGTTCTTAATCTTAAAAAGATAGCAAACAAAATATTTTAGCTCGAAGGTAAGTAAGAAGGATAGTCGCTGTAACTTTTAATTTTATTTTGATGCAATATATAAAATGATTGTATTTTTTTTTTTAAATATTTTTATTTGAATTTTATGCTTCATAAATTGCGTCTCAATACTTTTTTATCTTCAATATCTGCAGTTTTGTCTTTTTGTTTTATGTTATTTTCAACATTAGTATTTAAATTAATTGTTTAGAACTAACTTATAAGTATTTTCATCAAATAAAAAGCAAAAAAGAATTTGTGTAAAGTGACAGCTCACTTACATTGAATTAACAACCTAATCGTGTGTCTTGCTATTTCTTCTCAATTTTTATTCACTTTCAAATCAGAATTCTCCGTTTTTCTGATGGATATTTCATTTTTCTTAACAAATTAGAAATACTAAAAAAAGGAGCATCTTGAAAAAACGAAGGATTTGTCTTAATCCTTTTTAGTTGTAATTTTCTTTGTTCCGAGCATTGTAACAAACGTGACAGAAGCGTATTTATTTTATTTTCTTATTCGGCCTCCACTAAAAAAAAATGTTTAAGAAAGTTAAGTTAAAAACTTTTTTACGACGCACAAACTAAATGGGTGCAAATAAAAACATCATTTAGTCGAAACTAAGCAACTATCAGTTACCGAACAACAGCGTCATCATTTATAAGAAAGGGAGGGAAAAAGAGAAGAATATGTAGGCTAAAAGATGAAAGAGAAAAAAGGAAAGAAAAATAAAATGACAAGCACAACTCAAAAATAATAATAACAACAAAAAACATAAAGATTAAAAACATACCGACCATGAGGCAACCAGAAAAGAAAGAAAAACAAAATAAATAATATGGATAAATAAAGCGAGAAAAAAAGACAAGAACAAAAAAAAAATATTATTACAAATTTAAATTACACAAAAGTCTATGATCTAAGGGGATACTCTTACTAATAGCAGGATCAAATACCAAACAATTAGAATTAACAAAACTTTCTGATGACCGGTTCATTTCTACCATAATCAGGAGAGTCATAGCGAACATTGTACAACTCAGCAGATCTAAGACTCCTTACGCTATCTCTAATAGAAACCTGTCCCAACAAAGAAGGAGCCACTATGTCAACCCTACGCGCTACTTATTACTGCAAATCAATCAACATCAACCTAGCTTGATGTAAAAGGATCAGACCAGCCGAAACCTCTCAAAACAAAACGCAAAAATTTCCCCTGAGCAGATTCATTACGAGAAATATCCACAAGACGAAAGGGCGCCCAAACCTGACAAGCCTACTCAAGAATTGGCTTAACAAAGGACACATACAAATGCTTCACAACATGTGGATAAATAAACTCCTTAGTCACCTCCTTACAAAACATAGCTTAGAATTAGCGCTATCAAGGATCGCAGGGTAGATTTTGGTGATCATAAGCACCAAAATCTACCCTGCGATCAAGGCATAACCCCAAGATCACAAAAACTATCCAAATCCCTTTGCAACTTTAGACACTCAACCTCCGCCCGAACAATCCTCACAATCTTGGAGTCATCTACAAAACTATAAAGCTCAGAACCGACAACAGAACCAAAAGCATCGTTAGTCGCGACTAAAAAAAGTATGGAACACAAATGGCTTCCCTGCGGAACACCCGACCCTGGACAGTAGACATCAGACAGAGCAGAGCATAAGAATGGACGAACATCAAGCTACGAAGAGAAAAGCCCACGCAAGCCAACTTTGTCAGAATGACCTGGCGCAGAATAGTACAAAGGCCTTACTAACATCTGTAAAAATAACGACATCGACCTGGCCAACCCTCTCCATAATATCAATGGTATCGGAGACAACCCGAACCAAATTAGTAACAACAGATTTACCCTTCTCAAAACCATGCTATGAATGAATGGCAGGAATGAATAAAAGGACCACAACAAAAATATACGTAAAAGTAATCAATTAAGAATAAAATAAGAGAACAAACAAGGCTACCAGCACACCTACACGGCACCACACCCGGAATCCCATCAGGACCAGAAGACCAGTCGCCACCCAACCTCTCCATGGCCCGCAGAATACAAGCCGTCTCCAGCTCAATACCACCAAGAACAAAACTATACATACCACTCAAACCACCAATCGGAGCAAAAAGACTCAAAAAGTGGCAGACAAACAAATTAGAAATAACCAGAGGATCAAAATTCGAGCGAGGATGGATAACCATCAGACCTGTTTTTAGACAAAGATCTAAAGCTATTATAGGCCAAGCAAAACTTGACATAATCCGCCGAAGACTTCGAAACCACAAAAGTCCCCCAAGCAAAGTTCCTAACGTTCCTAAGACGCAGCGTCTTCTAAGCATCAAACAATAGAGAATACACAAATAAAACTTTCGCAGGCAATCTTCAACACTCGCTTCAGCCAAGAAAATAGAGCCAAACTCAACCAAGCGCTATAAACCATTCAATAACACAAAAACAAAAAAAAATAGTTTTACAAATTGAATTTAAGCAGATATAAGATGTTTAAGCCGGTATAAACCGACCGAATTATACCCAACTCGACAATCTGCGTTTAAAATTTATTTTTGAAATAACTAGAGTTAGCTATCAATTTTATGTACCAAGTACTCGAATCCAACGAATTAGAAAATACTAAAAGAAGAAGCATATTGAAAAAACAATAAAGGCAAATTTTTTAGTTGTCTCTTTCTTTACTTAAAAATGTTTGGATTAAAGTCGTAACAAGAGAAAATGACCTGAATTTGGACACAGGACTGCCAAGTATCATGAATCTAACTCTATTATTTTTTCAAATATTTACAATTAGCTTTTGGAGCTCAATGGTAGCTACCATTGCAAAAGCTAATATTAGATTTTGTCGTACATATATGTAAAAATACTGTTAGACAGACGTTTTTAAGAGATGAAACTTATTACTCATGAATAAATTGGTAATTTCGATATGTCAAGAGTAATAACACCATACAAAAAGGCTGCCAGCGGCAATCTGTGTCGAATTATCGATTATGCTCATCCCTTAGTATGATTGACAACTAATAATTTTAAATAATTCGTTGAATTACAACAAAATAGCGTAAGTAGACATCAACTGAAGTGTTTATAAGTTAATATATTTTTATTTTCGAAATATTAAAATGTAATTGGAATAATTGAAAAAAAATTTATCTAAAACAAAGTAAATAAAAATTAGTAAGAGGTAATTTTGTACATTGGATGGTAGAGTTTATTTGATAAACTAGCGGGCAACTAAAATGAGTAAAAAAAGATTTAATGACAGTAGCACTATTTTCGAAGCAAAGAAGAGAAGGTGTTTAAGTGAATTAAACAAAGTAAGTACATATTGAATTAGTAAGTTTATTGAGCCTAAATACATTTTTGTGATTTAGCAGGAAAATTCACAATCCGTAGCTTTGGCTGATGCATCTGTTCGTTGCGGGAAAATTATGAGAATTCACTTAACAAATTTTATGTGTCACTCAAATTTAAAAATTGACCTATGTAGTAGAGTTAATTTTTTAATAGGCGCCAATGGTAGTGGTAAAAGTGCCATTCTCACAGCTTTGGTAGTGGGATTGGGAGCTAAAGCAAGAAACACTAACCGGAGTACTAGTATTAAACGTATGTTTTTATTAATGTTAAACCCCTGATTTTACTAAGTTTTCTATTTCATCTAGAATTAGTTAAAACTGGAGAAAATGCCGCAGATATAGAAATTACTATTGCCAATTCTGGTGATGAAGCTTATGAACCACAAGTTTACGGCGAATTCATTACAATAGTTCGTCATATTTTGGCTTCCGGAAGTTCATCTTATAAAATAAAAAACCAGTTTGGGAACATAATATCAAAAAAACTTGATGATTTGCACAAAATTTTACTTTATCATAATATTCAAACAGATAACCCAGTGTTCGTTTTGAATCAAGATAGTGCAAGAACTTTTTTGAGAGAGTAAGATTTTCGAATTTACAAGCTATTATTTTTATATAAAAAGGTGGATAGGTAGGAACCATATAAACTTAAAATTTCCTATTTTTAGAATGGATCCTAGTAAAAATTACATATTATTTTTGAAAGCTACCCAAATAGAGGTAATTTTAGAAAAGTTAAATCAATGTGGAATTATGTATCAAGACTATAGATATCGGTTAAGTTGCTATGAGAAGGTATTTTGAATATATATAAGAATATGTATTTCAGTACTATTTTACTTTATTTTAAAAATTTAGCAACTGGAACTTATGGAAAAAGAATTAAATGATTTAAGGGAAAAGGAAGAACGTTTAGCGAGCGCTGACGATATTAAAGTAAATTTTTGTTCTCTAAATAGGCTTAAATTTACATTTCTATTATTTTTTATAGCGAAAGGTTAAACAGTTCAAACTTGAGGCGACTTGGTTAAAAGTGCAGCAACAAGAAGAGGTGGTTGATGAAGTTCACACAAAAAGCACAGTAGTTCAAAATAAGTATCAGAAAATAAAAAAATCTCTTGATGAAAGAGATAGTGCGGAAAAAGCTATCGAACACAAAATAAAGTAACATATTTCTTTCCTTCTAAAGAGATAATTAATAAATATGATACATATTTAGGGAATATGAAAAGCAGTATCTAGAAAAAAGTAACTCATTTCAGTCTAAAATTACAATACTAGAAAATTTAAAAAGTGCGTGCAAGGAAGCTACGCAAAAGTTGGAACAAAAATCATTTGAATGTAAAAAATTACGAAGCAAGATATCTGATTATAAAAATCAAATTTTAAGTTATGAGGAACGCATTGAAGAACGTACTGGAAAGTAACTACATCACATTAAACAAAAAATAATTAAAAACTAATTTACTTTATCATTGCAGTGGTTTAACACAAGTGCAAAAATTGCGAATGGAAAATGAACACCAGCTTGAAAATTTATCAAAAGAAAAGGATTCATATGAAATTTTCATTCAACAACAAAAACGGGAATTAGATTTACTAAATGAAACTAAATTAAAGCAAGAGTATGATTTTGAGGATTTAAAGCGTCAACGAGCGAAAGTTTCTGATAAAATAAGTAATATCTTAACTCACTACATGTTTGAAAAATTAATTTTTTTTGTCCTTGTAGTAAATTCGGAAAGAGAACTTTCAAAAATTCAATCAACTTCCAACAATAAGTTTTCTGTGTATGGGCCTCAAATGTCGGCATTTGTTGAAGAAATTCGACGTAATAAAAATAAATTTTCTGAATTGCCAATAGGACCGCTGGGGCTGTATATTTCTGTTTCAGAACAAAAGTGGCGTGGACCCATCGAGCTTTTGATAGGAGGCTTATTGACAAGTTTTGTTGTTAATAATGAAAGCGATTCTCGACTCTTGTCTATCTTAAAGAATAAATATGAAACTATTAGAAGTCCAATAATCACAATGAGATTTCCCAATCACGTAGGGGAGAAAAGCGTAAAATATCTATAAAAAATATCTAAAAGATAAATTTTTTTCAGGTTTATGACGTTTCTTCTGGGGCTTGTATTCCACCGCAGGATACGATTCTTGTTATGAATGAAATAAAATGTGATAATCCAGTTGTTATGAACTGCTTGATCGATCGCGGAAAAATTGAAACAATTTTATTGACAGAAAATCAAACTTTAGCAATAAATTTAACAGCATACGAAGAAAATGTTCCAAGAAATCTGTTAAAAGTCATATTATTAAATCCATTTTTGGAATATTGCCCGGCGCCAAAATATCGAGCATATTCTTTAACAGAGAGGCCTCCACGTTACTTACAAGTCAATATGGAGGAAATTCGAAAGTATTTCAAATTTCTTTTTAATTTCAATGACATTAACAATGCTTTTAATCTTTAGAAATCTTCAAATTGAACTAGATAAGCAGAAGGGTATTAAGGCGGCATATGAAGAAAAATTAAGGTGTTTGAAAAGCAAACTGACCGAAATTTATCGTCATGTGAAAATTAACAGCGATAAATTAGCAGAAAACCAAAGGAAAATGAATGTAACTGTTGAAAAAATTCAAGAATTGGAATCTTATGAATACCCAGAAGAAATTCAAATAGAATTTTTTGTAAGTAAAGTTAAAATACAACAAAATTGAATTTAAATAAGGAATATTTCCTATATTAAAAAAAATCAGAAAAAAGAAATTTCAGAACTACAAAAAACTATAAGTATCCAAGAAGAAACGCTTGTAAGTATTGAAGAAGGTATCAAAATTTTGTTGCAAAATAAAATTGAGAAAACTGAAGAATTCGACAATTATAAAGCTACCATTAACAGTGACGAGGAACAAGTTAAAGAATTAAAAGTAAGAATTTTAGTTTAGTTTGTTATAAGGCAATTTAAATTGAATTTTAATTATTATTATTTCAGATTAACATTGACGAACTTAAATCTCAATTATATTCTATTGCAAATAATGCTAATAGTTGGCAAAGCAGCTTAAAAAAGCTGGAAAAAGAAATAAGTGAAAATGATAATAAGTTAACAGTTGAGCGACAAAAACTTGAAAGCCTTATAGAAACAGCTTCACTAGTTGGTGAACGTATTATAGTAACAAAAAGTGAAGACGAACTAAAAACTTTAATTAAAAAGAATGAATATTCGTTAAAACAAATTTTAACAACTGATGAAAATTTATCTGATGTTAAAGCATTAATAGAGAACAAACAATTTAGATATGAAAAGTTTCAAGCATTTACAGAAACAATAGCTAGAATTTTAGAGATGTTGAAAAAGACGCGAATACAAAGATTTAAATTCATTATGAATTTAAAAAACCACATGGCAATAAGAGTAAAATTTACATTTATTGTAAGTAAAACAATGTTTCATATTTTTACATATTTCAAAACTAATTTAAAACAAATTTTTAGGCTATATTAGATTTGAAAAATTTTACGGGTAACATTGATTTTAATCACAAAGATCAAAAGCTGGAGCTGACTATTGTGCCACGTGATAAACATATTGATAATGCTGTTTGCAATACCAAATCGTTATCTGGGGGTGAAAGATCCTTTTCAACAGTTGCTTTGCTTCTGTCATTATGGTCTTGCGTTGATCACCCATTTTATTTTTTGGATGAATACGATGTTTTCACCGTGAGTAGTAAAAGTTTTAATTTAGAACTATAGTTTATCTTTCGGTATAATTTGTCTACAAATAGGATCAAGTAAATCGCGAAATAATGACAAAATTATTATTGAGTGAAGCTGAAAAGAAACCACATCGGCAGTATACATTTTTAACACCGCAGGATGTATCATTTGTTAAAGCATCTAACACTGTCGTCATTCAAAAGTAAGTAAAATTTATTTGTGATATGATGATTTGACATATACTAAAAGTTCAAATTTCTTTTTTTAGATTAGCCGAACCAAAAAGATAAAAGTGGTTTTATTATGTAAAAACAATAAAAAAATTCCAAAAGAATTTTATATTTTATTTTTTGTGCTTATGAATTTGAGAATATGTTTATTTATTAATTACATGTACAACTGATTTCCAATGCAAAAATGAAGAAAAATAAATACAAATTTTATTTTTACAATATGCAAAGTTTTATTTTTAAAAGAAAAAAGTTAAGTGAATAAATTTTACATTAACATTTAAATACATTAACAATCATAAATATTTATGATTGTTAATGTAGTTTAAATATTAAAGAGGTAGAGAATTAAATAATAGATATGTATTATTCCAAAGGAATAAATGTGTTCTTACGTCTATGTTTAAAGTTAATTAAACACTAAAAAAATTTATAAAAAAAGGTAGGAAATACTGAGAAAAAGAAATATACTTGAGAGCGAAAAAGCCTTCAAAGTATTCTTTGTTTATAAAAACGCTGACGAGCTCAAGTAAATATTTGAAAGAAAAAAAGGATTAAAGGTGTTCTCTTTTTCTTATTAATCGGATTTCCATCCATCTGTCTTTCGTTGAATATTGCATATATACATATGTACATTATTTGGAACTCTAAATATTTAAATACATACATATGTATATACATACTTGTAACTTATGGTGCACATACTTTAGGTGCTTTTTCAAAATTAATTAAATGCATGAACATAAAAAAACTTTGAGGAATTTCTATTTTATTTAAAAAGAAAAAACCAAATATTGAATTACATAAATATTGTTAAGCCAAATTTGTTTGAGTTCATTTTATAAAAATTTTGTTTCTAACAAAACTTACATACATATATCGTACCTGATACTTTGAATAACAAGTACTGGTATGACTGCGGAATAAAAGTAAAACTTCAACTTATTATCAAATATATACGTACATATTTATTATTTATTAAAGTACATTAAAATTTTTAAATTTTTCAAAAGAAATTTTTTTAAACACGTTGTGCTTTTAAATTTGATTAATAAGTTAATGTTCGTCTGATATAAAAGTACTACATTCATATTATATATGTAAGAATGTAAGTAGATAAAAAATTATTATTTTTTAAAGATTTCTTAATTATTTTATTATATACATACATATTCCAAATATGTAAAATCAATAATTTATTTATTCAACACTTTCTTTTGCATAACAGAAATATGTACATATATATTATATTTATATGTCTATATATTATATTAATTCTTTTCATGCAAAAGAAAATTCACATTTTTAATATTTTTATGTATAAATACAATATGTCCCTATATTTTTTTATCATAAGATCACAAATACAGTTTCAATTAAATACTAAAATTATGTTTTAAGTAAAGGCGGAAAGTTTAAATACGGTTTTTACCATATTCTACAACGTTTTTCTGCAGGGTTCATATTTGATCCTTTTGGGCAATTAAAAGTTTCAGAGAATTCAGGAGAATTTGTTAATACCCCTTTTAATCGAATATGACCAGGACAGTGCGAATCCTCTAAAGCATATTTTGTTGCTATAGGTGTTAACGTTTCACACCACAAATTGCCAAATGATATAAATAGTAATTGCTCATGTGTATATGAATCTAGTCCGGGCAACCGTTTTTCTCTTCCAATTCGATTTATTAAAATTTTATAGGCATAATATGCTTCACGTAAACCACCATTATCTGCAATATTTTCGCCTAATGTTAATTCGCCATCGATCTGTTTAAAGAAAAAACATACAATTTTGCGTAAAAGATTTTAAAGTATAAAATAAGCAATTATAATATAAAATATGATTATTACATGATCATCAACATCTGACAAATAATAACGTTCATATTGTTTAATGAAACAATCAGTCCTATTTATGTATTCATTAATAGTTTTATTTGTCCACCATTGTCTTAAATTTCCATGTTCATCAAACATTCTTCCACTATCATCGAATCCATGAGTCAATTCATGCCCTAATATAGCACCAATAGAACCGTAATTCAGCGCTCTAAAATAATTAAATTTTTTTTTTTAAAATATACATACATTTGTATTAATATATCAATTGTATTTATATCAATTGACATACATAATTTGTATATATGTACATATGTACATACATATTTCATAGATTTAAAGTTTATTTAGAATGTTGAGTAAAATTTCTGAAAGAATGTATGTATAGTTGCAAGTTTACATAAAATAAGGCAAATGGAAAATAACTGAACTCTAAATAAACTTTTGTTTTAAAGATCATGAATGGACCAGTCAAAAAACTGCTTATTAAAGACGTTAAATAAAAGAATTAAAATTTTGTACACATGACGGTTTCTAAAATTTCTGAATATGATGTCTATGAATTAAGAGACCTTAACATTAGTTATATGTGTAATTTCATGGTTTTATTTAGATATTTTATTTCAACGCATTTGTATAAATGAAATTCAAAACTGAAAGAAAGTTAATATAGTTAATTCAATATTTTTTTTTGACTTACTCAAGTCCAAGATTATAAAATGGATACTGCAAAATCGAAATCGGAACAGCTAAAATTTAACAAAAAAAAAAAAATCATAAATGAAATTTGTCATTTTAAATTACCTACATATCTTTCGTTTACTGCAAACTGATGTAACTCAAAATTTGGACATTTGAGAAAAACTAATTTTAAAGTGTTGCAATATTTTTCTCATTGTAGAAGAATTAATCAAAAAAAGAATTAATCGTTTTAAAAGCTTATTTCTGTATAAATAATTCAGAAATCTTATTTTTTGAGTTATGTCACTGTTGCAGTAAATTAACGATATGTAAAATTAAATTGAACATACTAATAGTATTTGTTTGAAATGTGTGAAACGCATTAACATTTGATGGTGATGTTGCCCAAGTCATATCTGTTTTATTATTGTATTCCATAATAATATCCTTCATTTGTAAACGTAATACACCTATCATATTATCTAAATGTGTTGTTATATTAACTTTAAATTCCTTATAATATTCGTCTAATACTGTTTTATTTGTTATCCAATCAGGAAAACCAATGAAACTTTTCATATTCATTGATTTTTTTAATGTTCTCTCTTTTGTTTCTTTATCCATCCAATTTGTATTTTTAACTAAATCATTAAATGCACTACGAATATTTTGCAACATGTCTTTAACTCTTGGTAACGTTTCATTATGAAAATTATCATATGCTAATGTATAACTAACCGCCATACCCATTAAACTATTAATACCACTTGTACAATATAATGACCTTGAGAGACCACCTTCGGTTTTAATTAATATTCGTGTTAATTCATTATGTAATTGTCTCATTGTATCTGAAGTATGTACAATCAATTCTTCAACAACATTCCACCATATATAGAATTCTAGTTTTTCTTTTGTTAATTCTAATACAACTTGTTTAATTTGTTTTAAATAATATAAATCAGGATCACTTGTTATTAATTTACGAGTTTCATTAAATTCTACAATATGAGAATATTCTTTAAATAATTCTGGTATAAAAATATCGAAAATGGGCAGTGTTTTTGGTGAAATTAATTCGTCTGTAACATTTTCAATTTCTTTTACTGTCATATACAAGAAATTTTCATATTGATTTTTATGTGATAACTTTGTTATATTTTCAGCTTCATCGTTAAATTCAATTATTTGTTCTGTTAATAATAAATGATTCATGATATGCTCATTTAATGATTCTTTGATATCATCTACTTTAAAATTAGGATCTAATTCATGTATAAAAACTTCTATAACTTTTCTTATGTAAGTCATATAGGCTACAACACTACTTTTGGTTTTTTTAATTTTATCAGTTTCATCTTTTGTTTTATCATCTGTATCATCATCTACTTGTGCTTGATCGTCTTCTTCAAATCCACTATATTCCAATAAATCATTTATTAATTTTCTACGTAACCGTTTTTTATGAATTCGATCTTCCATACTACAAATATAAATTTAATGAATAGACTAAATTAAATTTAACTTAAATTTCATAATTGTATTATAGGAGTGACCAGAGGTACTTATTTTCTTTTAGTATACATAACAATATTCTGAAGATTAATTAATATAATTAAGTAATATTTATGTATTTCACAATTTTGTTTTAAATATGTACACTTATATATTTACATATATAAACAAATTAATGTATTTATGTACATATACATATATGTATTACGTCTTCATTCTAATTAGATTTTTTTTTAAATTTAGATCATCGACAATATTATAAATTTTAAAATCGCTTAAATTATAAGATGTGTAATCTATAATTATTAACTACATACGTACATATATTGCAGTAGCAATTGCAATATTGTGCTTTTAGTATATCTTATACCAATCTGGTCAGATAATATACAGAGAAAATTTTCTTTAATTTTTATTGCTACTTACAACGGTAAAGGCGATGTTTCTTCGGGTGTTCCTACAGCTATAATTGTAGTGTCTAAAAAATAAATAATAATTATTGTATATTACTTCAGTTTTAATGTTAAAGTCACTTTTAATATTACTTCGGTTCATTGGATCAGCTAAAATATCAAATCCTACAATTATATCCATTCCTAATGCCAACTTAATTCGTACCAATGATTCAATCCAATTAAATTCGTTAATATTATTGTTATTTATATTAACAGAATCATTATTATTTGTTGTATTAATATTTAATGTAATATTCAATATATTTGGTATTATAGGTAATTTAAATTCTTCTAGGTATTTCAAAACTGGCTTAATTCCTAGCTTATTCATTGAATTAACATCCATACAAGCTCTGTACATTATTTTTGTTTTATTAACAGCTTCGGGATCTGATTCACTTTGATTTGATTTTAAAAATTCTCTTATTGTTCTCATCACTTTATTTTGCTTTTCTGTAAACCAATCGTATGATGTTACACTGTCTGGCCGAGGATGTTCTTCATGCCAATTACCACACGAAAAACGATAAAAATCATCACATGGATCAATTGTTCTATCCATTGATAATATTAAATTCGATGCAGCTCTTAAACATTCTGGTGTTTCACAAATATCACTTGAATATTTTGCAACTATGTATTATGTGCATATGCATTTTGTTGTAAACATATAGAAAATTATGGAAAAACTTAGCATTACAATCATGAACCATTATTGTTTTGCATATATACATAATATCTTTGATGGGCGGTAGTAGGAGTATAAGTCAAAAATATCAACTTTTCACTAGAGCAAAAAAACTTAATAAAACTGTTCACTTTTGCTTTGAACAATATATTTAAATGCATTTGTTTCAAAGGTTTGTAAGTGTCGTAGCGCTATGAATTTTTGATAGAAGATGTATTTTGAGCTCTAGATTACATTGGTGTACTTATCAGGTTTTTGCAAAAAATTGACTTATACTCCTACTACCGCCCATCAAAGATATATATTTATATGTATAAATTACATTCTTACCTCTTACAGAGACACATATAATTGCTATGAATAATATCAAAATAATTAAGACTAAAATTGCAATTAATGTTTTGTGGTAATATTTTCTTCTAAATCTGAAATAAAATAAAAAAAAAACAATTTACAATACAATACTTGTATATGTTAAAATTAGTAAATGTAAATTTATTTTATACTTTGATTGTACACCAACTAGAAAAGGATTATTGAGACAAAAATACTTTTCATCACTTTTATCTTCGCTTTTTTGTTGGCCATTCGCTGTATAAGCAATAGGAAGGGCAGTTGTTGTACCTAAAAGAAATAAAAAGATTTTTAAAGTTTAAAAATACAGAAAGTTTATTTATTACTTACGATATTACAGAAAAACTAACAAAAAAAAGTGTTTGCAATAGGATTGGAACATTGTACAAAGAAGCATCGATTTAAATCATAGACATCGGCGTTATTGTATTATTATGACATAATAAGTTCATGTCTATTTTCAAAAAACATCGATATATCGAGAAATTAAAAATTGAGTCAATGCAATATTCGAATATTTTTATATTGATAAATGATAATGTTATGCAGTAAATAAATTTTACATTGAACTTCATTTAGGGCCTGATCGTCTATCTTGCTATTTTACTCGGAAAGTGGGAAGAAAATGAGTAACTATCATATACTTGTATTTGTATAATGTAATTTTCGAGTGAGAAGAATTGTTCCGATTGCGTATCTCGTTTTCTTCTAAAATGCATACAGAATTATTGACTTTGTTATTGAAAGTGAGACGTGCAGTTTATAATTTGAGAAATAAAGTTGGGTCAAACCAATGGTTTGTATTGTAGCACTTTTCTCTTCAACAAGTGAAAATACTGCTTTTAAAAACAATCTATACCTACTACATACGTAGGTACACGATCTAGTGTATACCTGCTATACTATTAAAATTATTTTCATGAACGATTTCTGCAGTCTTTGAGATAAAGCAAAAATAAATTTAAAGAAGGGTTAACATAATGTTCGATTTTAAGGGTTAATTGTGAGAGTTAAGAAAAACAATTATATTTCTTAATGACATATAATAATAATTACATTTGCCGAAAATTCGAATTTTACAAATTTCGAGAGGTGATAACTTGAAAGGGGGTAGAGATGGGAAAAACTTTCCTCTAATGAAATGAACTATTTATGAATAACTAAGAACTACTAAAACTAAGATAACGGTAAATTTTAACGGCCATTTTATTTTTTTAAAGTTTAAATATAGTACGCCGCAAATTTTAAAAATGCTTATAGTTAAGTAAAAGTTTTGTAAACAGACACACGGACAGACAGAAGGACGGACGGAAATTTTTTTGGAAAAGTGCTAAAAATGCAAAAATGCAATTGAAAAATTAAATAATCTTATTGGAAAAATGAAATATCTAAATACACGATTAGGCTGTTAATGTAGCTTTAATAAGAACGAACATTCACTATTTGTGTAAACAAGTGCAACCCAAGCCCAATTTGCATATACATATGTATAAAGTAAAGTTGTTAATATTAAATATGTATATGTTTATGTGTATGTTTATGTATATGCATATGTTTATATTTTTTTAGGTTACATTTAATTATAACATGAAAAAATTAATATTTTTTTTATTGCCGAAGAGAGACATGGGCAGAGCGATTCCTCTTCCCACCCACCGGAGTAAGTCACGATTTATTGTTGTTCTCCCATATCCCACCTCAACTAGCCCGTCCCAAGCAAAAACGCAAAGATGTCCCCCAAGGAGTTGGAGGTTAGCTCCTACATATTGTGAAAGCCCCGACCAAATCGTCTGCGCTTTCAGAGCAGGAGAGTCACAACGAATGTGTATGGTTATCTCCTCGATAACTGTTTCGATAAACCCAGTTTGTGCAAGTGATATTTCACCGCAGAATGACCATTGAAAAAAGAAATAATTGCACGAACCCGATTTCGCTCCATAGAAGGAATAATTAAAAGATGGAAACAAGGTACGAGTAGAAGGAATAAATAAAAGGTTGCTTTTATTTTTAATTATGCAGACTATCAAATATTGTTAATTAGAGCAAAAATGTTGTCATTCAAGAAAATATAATGGAAATAAAAAGAAATCACAAATTACTCGAAATTTTGAACATAAATTAAATGTAAGGTTGGAAGTTTTTCAAGGTTGGCTTTGTTATTAGGCTTTTTTTATCGTAGATTTGTAATAATTTTGATTAATCGGAAGAATGGCACTACCACTAATCTATTTTGTGTTATAAAATTTCAGAGATATGACCAAATTATTTTTTGAGTTGTATGGCAGCTAATGTTAGTATTTATACAACCACAACTAAATTTAGAATATTTTGAATATTGGCCTGTACAGTATAAAACAAGCCTGGATACTTGTTTTGACAAAACTTTAATACTATAGGGTTGCTGTTTCCAAAATGCGAGCAAATTATTTTTACATCTGTGACAGCTGTTGTAAAGATTTCGACAACCACAGTCAAATTTCGTCGGAGTTGTTAATCGCAACCAAATTTTATCGGGAAACCATAGTTTATGCAAAATTCTATTACTTTATATGAATTATAGTCTTTAAGACAGGAGTAAAATAATCACAGTTTTTTGCAATATTTTTTGAACAAGAATTATTTAAACATCTTTAGCCATTTTTTTTTAAGTTCTGATTATCGGCTTGTAATTATTTCATGGCGGTATGTAGAAATTCCATATTGCAGTAACACAGGTTTTGAATGTAACACAAATTTCTGTATTATGTTTAGAAACCGCCTTAATGTATACGCAAGTTATACATACATACGCACATATATGTGCAATAAATTTAAAAATGGTTCAAATCCATTATTTCATCAATTTAATCCGCAAATTGGTTTGATACGATTATAATTGACGTTTTATAAATCTATACAATAAGTACATACATATTTTAAGTATTACTTATTTTAAATTCTGCTAAAATTAAAATCAATTTAATTAAGTACTCATACTTTTTTATTAATTATTAATGTAAGATTTTTATCTATTTGCTTTTTATTAGAATGAATCACATACAAACGTGGATCACATTAAATCACATATAAATATACATCATTCATATAAATAGTAGACATAATTTATGTCGCATGCAATGCGATACAATATTTTTTTAAGAGTATATAGATTATTATATAATAACCGTTTGTTTTATATACGTACACTTGGTAAGTACATATATACAGAAACCAAAGTAATATTTGTTAAGGTGAATGACCATTATTATAATATGTACATAATAATATTGTGCTATAAATTATAACAAATTTCCTTGTTTTTTTTTAACATTTTCGGTCTCTAGAATAACCCTATAAGTAAGTAACTAAATATGGAAATGTTCATTTCATCAAATTTACATTAAAAATAATAAAAAAAACTATGAGAAATGAAGGAAAATAAATACATAGAACATTTAGTTTCTAATATTTTTTAGGAAATGTTAAAGTCCTTTACTTATGATATTATTGTTATTAATGGACTTTAAATGACACAGTTAAATTAGTGTGGTTAGTTCACAATATTCATGGTATACTCACATTTACATATTGTGTATATACATTTACATTTTATATCATTATAATTAAAATTTGAATATTATTACATATAATAAAGATGCGGTTTAGGAATCTTTTAAAAAATTTAATCGTTTGGGAGAATAAAAAAGCCCCGAAATTATAGCTCCAAAAAATATAACTTAATTAAAATTTTAAATTTATTGAAAATATGACATTTCCGGAAGTACAACCAAAAAAACTCAAACCAAGAGTCGAAATGATGAAAAATACGATATATAAATTCATCGGTTTGTAAAATAGAACATTTCCATTAAGCAATATTTTTTAAAAAATATAGTCGTCTTTAAATTATTGCCGTCAATATATTAACATTACATTGCATAAAATTGTTGATATTAAGATGATCCCAGAAAAATATTTATATTTTTTTATGATTAAACATTTATCGTCAGCTTACTGCACCAGAAATTTGGAAAAGCTTATAGCTTCAAAAAATTATGAATTCGAAAAGAAGAGTTTGCTAATTTTAAATGAAGACATCTTAGAAAAGGAGGAGAAGTTAAAAAAAATCTAAACTGTTTGCTAATTTCATTATTATTAAGATCTTAGGCTTTTAAAAATTTCTGTGTAACAGAAAAATAACATGAAAAATTAAATAGAAAAAGATTAAAAAAATACGGTTTCAACGGAAATTTGAGCTTCTAGTTTTTGGCTTTTTCTCTTTCAAAATAGAATAAACTGTAAAGAAAACCAAAACTAGCACTTCTACTTTTAGTATTGGAAAATTGCTTGTTGTGATAAAATTTCTGATATTTTTTGTTATTATACAATAGCTTTAGTTTTTCTAAAATTATAATCATGTTATATTGATTGCATAGTTATGTAATTTAAATAAATTCCAAATAAAATCAGTTACCAGTTACAGTATTAGTTACAAGTTGCTATTCGGGAAAAAACAGTATAACATTATGCAAGTAATTATAATTTTATCAAGTACATGATATTTCAACGGCATTTAATATTTGGGAGTTTGTAAAGGGTTATATGTATAAAACATGCAGACCCCTAATTCTTCGATTACTTTCTTTTCCAATTCTTTTTTTTTTTGATAATTTTAATCATTAAATTAAGAGGCAAAAAATAATAACGCAAAAAATCATTCTCAACGGTTTTATCATTAAGAATTTTTTGATAGGGGATCGAATCAACTAATTACACTGAGAATGGGGTGTATTTACATATATAAAATGAAAACAAAAACAATTTTTGAAAAATTAAATACTCACGTGAATTGTTTTGTGAATTTGCCCTTTCATACTGGCTGTTATTATTGTTGTTGTTAGAACTGTTATTGTTATTATTATTATTACTACTGTTTTGGCTTATAACTAAACTTGAACTGGAATCAGTAGTCCATACAGCAGAGCTATTCCTCATTTTTAATAATAATATTTTTAATTTTTTGAATTTTTAATATTTATTTTATTTTTAATATTCATTTCAGTCTTTTAAAAATTTATTACTGGTTAATTTTAATTTTCACACTTTAGATTAAAGAACTAAAATTTTTATATAAATTTCTTTAACAATCTTATTTTTCGAATATTTATAATGCATAGTGAAAGTGTTTAAATAAATTATTATACGCGTGTCCTTGAAACAGTTTTTAATTTTCAATGTTAAGTTTATTATTTATCTTTTTCGGTATTTGTTTTTTTACTTTCTGTCATCGTAAATCTATACGAATAGTTTTATTTTTAATGAAAAACAAGAAACGCAGATCTCAATGAATTCTATATTTAGATTTATTTGTATATGTCCTTAAATTTTTATTTAAAAATAGTAAACGTTTGCATGTTTTTTATTATATAATATATTAGGTGGTTAACATACCGTATATACGTTATATATCAATTTCCTTATATTATATTAAATTTGTGCCTTCTTCATATTAAACACATAATATGTACATAAAACTAGACGTGTAAATTCTATATGAAAGTATAAATCTGATTAAAACATTATTCTATTGTTAATTTTTTTTTTATTTTTGCATAATTAGCGCCATTATAATGTATTGATTATTTTGTTTTTGATGTTCGTATTATATGATTATCGATTTCAATTTTATAGTGGTGATCGAAAATTTTTTAAATCTATTTAATTTTATTAATTGTTTCACTTTTTATAGCTTAAAATCACTAGAGCCTAATGCTATGCAAAGAACAAATAAACATGAAAGTAATTAAAGTTGTAAGCTGTTTTTGATAAAGAGTACAAAAAATTTTGTAATAATTATTTAAATAATGTTTTATGAAAGCTATATATATATACAGGGTGATTCAGAAAGGTATACAACAACATATACCATTGGTTAGAGGGTCGAAAATGGGTAAAACTTTTGTTCCGGAGAAGATGTGAAATCTCAAGGGTTTTCGAGATACAGAATATAATAAAATATATTTAATAAAATATAAATTAAATATTAGTTTTTTTTATACTAGAGGTTCGTCAATTAGTATGTGAATATGTTGAAGTTTTACATGTTTTTGGTGCCTATATTTATCAATTGATTTATATTGCATAATAAAATTAGGGTTAAAAAAATTAGTAAATGAAATGAATTTATTATTGATAAGTAAATTGATAAAAAAGATCAAGCCGATAAATTACTATAATAGCTCAGATGTAAAGGGTTTGTAAATAACTTGTACATATTGTCAGATACTTCAAATATTCTATTTAATTCAATAAATTATTTACATTAGAGATTAAATTAGAGATTGTTTTGACATTGTGATGTTAATTTTTGTTGTCTCATTTTTTGTTTGATTACAAAATCACTGCCCTGGTAAGTACAAGGCAACTCACAGTTCTGGTAAGTAAAAAACTACCGCATTCAAAAATTTTTCACACCGTCTTCAATCGACTCAACTTCGATACAATTCGTTTGTTTTTCCTCAATTTATTTTCCATTGAAATTATTTTTTAGTTTGAAAGAAACTATTGAAAAAGATTCCTTTTGTTTGCTTAATATTGATTTTCGTATGTTATAAGAGAAATAAGCAATTTGAGGTATTTAATTGCTCCGTTTTAGGTTCTTAACTGAAATCTGTACATGAAATCTGAAAAATATTTTTCTGCATAATTATAGCTGATCTTTAATAATTAAAATTTTTACTTTCGCAGATTTATTGGTTAAATGATATTAGTTATATGTATATACAAAAATGTAACCAATAATAACAAATTATAATTTCTGTCCTATGATTTTTGTCTAACTTGGAATAATTTTACAGCATATAAAAAATTTTTTAACAATGTCTTATAGGAATTGAGACATACTAAGATTTTCAAACGTGTTGTTCTTATCAAACATCCTATTTTGGAAGATTTCAAAGTTTTGATTTGTCGAAGATATTTTGTATTAATTCTGAGTTAGTACTGATTATTAGATGATGAAATACCCAACATTTTCTTTAGTACATAATTTTTGTAATAATATGCTTAGAGTTTGTTGAATTTACCCTATGGAAATTTTTCAATTTGAATTTTTTTTCGTAATTTAACTCAGTACCCTTTTAAACGGAAATGTGGAAAACCTGTATCGATTGAATTTCTATAAATTTTAGGAAACATATTTTTAAGAAAACTTATTTTAAATTAAAGCTTTTCTTTTTTGATTATTTTTTCGTGCAAATATCAAAATAAAACTCCAATATTTATTTATATATAAATTTGTTTAAAAATTTCCTCATGCAAATGACTTAAAGAAGGACGTTGAAAATTTATTTCCTTCATATATATTTTTAAAAATTCTTCATATTAAATTCTTCATATTAAACTTTATATATTTTTTTTAAAAATCATAAAAGGAAAATGAGAGTTGCTCTCTCGCTTTACGTGGTGGCCTTATAGTTACGAGGGCAGTGATGAAATGATAAAAATTTCAATATATTCAAGTTTTTTTAAAAATATGTTAGGAATTTAAATTTAATTTTACGTTAAAGTTATCAAATATGAAAGACACATTTTGCTTATCAAATATTAAATCATTGGGCATTTAGTAAAACTGCAAAATTTTTACGAAGAATATGCAATCTACTTTTTGTCAAGCATTGTGGTAAACAAATGTATATTGTGGACTGCAATTGTACTTTAGTCAGGTCAGGCGTTTACCTTTAATTACAAAAAAAAAGTAAATATTCCAATTACATTTTTGATAATGCTTTTTTCAATGCATACTGAAATTTTAGTCTGCAAAAATATGTCAAGTTGGCGTCAATTTCGCTTGTTTTTGATTTAATGGTGCAAAGTGAATTTAGTACATTCTTATTTTCGTTAAAAATTTAGGCTGCAGATAATTTATTTTGTCGGACGAGGATTAGAATGATTTTCGTACAATTTTCGTATATTAAAATAAAAATTTGATAAATATTTAAATAATCTCAGGATTGCATTATGATTAAGGAAAAAAAAGTAGAATTTTTATATTATGTTATAGAAAATGGGCTTTATTGACCAATTTGTTAACAGGAAGTTTTGGTTTTTTCTAAATCTTATTATTTTTATAACATAAATAAATAACTCAACATCTCACAAAGCTACTTTTACGAGAAATTTTCCGCTTGAATAATTAAAAATTAAGACAATGTTATAATTGATTTTTTATTTAGAAAATTTTTTAAGATTAATTTTATTATATCCATTCAAATTTAAAAAAGCGTTTAGCGAATTTAAATACTAGGTATACATAACGTGAAATTAACAATTTTAAAACATTTTTCATTATTTTTGATTACCCCTTTTATTAACTATACTCTGTTATTTCTTGTTTAATACAATTTTGCAATTGTTTTATTTTAATTCTTTATATGCACAATATCGGAAAAATGGTAATTTTTTTTACCATTTTGATTTCTTATAACCGTTTTCATGTACTAAAGATGTGCTAGGGCTATATATACATACTCGTATTATTTTATATAATATGTAAGCGTTCAATTATTGTTCTGAAAGAAAAAATTCACAGACAATAACAATAACGACAACACAAAACAAAAAACAAGAAAATTAAAGGCATAATAGCAATACAAATTGCAAATATTATAAGCACGTTTAGTCCTTCAATAAAATACCGAAGAACTTAACAATAAGCAAGGACTTTGATTTTTTTTTTTGTTTAGAATGGTATTGTAAGTAAAAAGCGTTTTCTTTTAATTTTCCTTTAATACTATTCTATTATATGTATGTATATACTCGTATAAAAAACCATTTATATAAAATAGTTATTCATAACAGGTGCTAGTGTTGCTTTTTTGTATTGTATAATATTTAGGTATATAATATAAGTCAAAAATATGCATGTAGAAAGAGTCAAATGCGTCATTTTTTGTATATAAAAAAGGTAAGACAGTAGGTTCTTTTTGTTGCTAAATATATGGTGATAATTTTTGTTTGGCATTGGTGCAGTTGAAGTGTTGAAAAAAAAACTAAAATCATAGTATTGGTTCAGTTTTTTCTATTATTTTGCAAATTATTCTTTTAAATTATTTAATACTTATATTGTTATAAAAAATATTTTACAATATCATCATCATGAAAAATGGGTCAATGAATAGTTTTTGCCAAATCTTAGTTTGTTTAAATATTAATAATAATAAAATTATAAAAGGAAAATTTATGAATAGAAATTTATTTATTATTTATTTTTATCTGTAAAATATGTATATATAATTTACTACAATTTGCTGGAAATTTGTTGTTTGAAATACGGGATTGACTGAACAAATCCACTGGAAAAACAGTTTTACATTAATGGAAAAATCGAAATTTGAAAATAATGTTTTGAAATCAAAATTTAGGGTATAAATTTTTATACTGCTCTTTACTTGTCACTGAATGCGAAGAGTGGTGAGTATAACACTTGTTCATCAAATGTAATTTTAAAATGGGACGAATCCTTTTAAATTATCTCTGCATAAAATAAGGAAGGTTATAAGGGATGAAATGCACTTTTTTTATGGTAAGGAAGCGTAAATAAGATATTTTTAGTATGCTGTTGACCTCTATATTTTCGAAGAAATCAGATATCAGCAACTGTTTTTCTACAACGAATCTATTTTATATTTTTGCATTTATACAAAAAATGGTCAACTAATTTTCTTGAAATTTAATATTTGATTTTAAGGTATTAAAAAAATGAATTTCTACATCTTTTCTTCTTCTAGATTTACGGTTTCGGAAACCGAACTTTTACTACTTATGCCTAGTAAAATTAAATGATTTTAATTTTTTTTTTATCACATGTACAAAGGAAATTTTTGACGACATCTCTTGAAATTTAATATTCCCTATATTTTTATTTTTCTGTGAGATTTTCAGTCCAAACTCTTAGAACTAGAGTGCTACATTATAGTAATAAGACTAATAGAACG